TTAGCCAAATTAAGTTCAAATCTTGTATTAACTTCAACTAATCCTAGTAATTTCTCATCTAATAGATATTGATTCAGCTTGTGGAGAACCCTGTACATGAATAATTTAATTTTTTGTAAAAAATCGGCTCTCCATTTGATTCGGTCACTTTTTCTAATTAAAAATTTATTTAGTATTTCAACCTGTCGTTGTCGCTTTCATAAAGAACTTTTCCATAATTATTACTATATATAATTTTTGTAAATGCTTCACTGTCGCATATCCATACATCAGCAAATATGCCCAAAATTTTGCCACAACTGGCATGGATATGCGAATAGCACAATCAGTATTATTCGTCCTATTCATCCCTTTATCCGATGCAATGAGATGTCGGGTAATAACCCCATTCCCTTTCTGTGGGTCGTCACAGAAACTCAAACGGTATTTAGCTAAACTCGATAAGGGTTGAGTTCATCGGGAAAACGGTGGCGACGAGATAATCGACGTCTTTGGTAGCAGACGGGCGGTGGGAGAGGCGGTGGGAGATGAAGAAAGCACGTGTCCTCCAGCCAAGGAGAGCTTCACCCGTTCACCGATTGAATGGAGTCTAATTGCTGGGATACATTATAGATGTGCGGCGTTGCCATACATGGGAACAGACACATGCTGGCACCGGAAGGTTCTTCCGTGAAAATATTTTCGACCTAAGTCCTGCATAGGCAACAGTCTACTTTTGCAAACGATGATGTGTTTGAGACAAAGTTAGCGAAAGCAGACCTATTCGACTATAACTGGACTTACCCATACTGAGGTGGAGGAGTACAAACAGTGAAATTACCTAAACGAGACCCGAATAATGACTGATTCAACCTACAGCTTCGTGGGAGGTTAGTAGCTGACAGAGGGGTAGGACTCATTGGAACTTCTTAAAAATCCAACTTTTAAGAACAGACAAGCTGATATAGGGTATAGAAGCAGATATGATGTAGCTGGTTGTTGCCAAATACGGTTAGGCGACGGGTATGGTCGCTGATGCTTAGTGACAGTCAGTCCTAATGGTTCTGGATGCTATTGAACTTTTTTGTGGAGTGACCTTCCAGCTATCACGTGTAAGAATGGAACATTATTGTAACCCAATTTACTGCAGAAAACTCACAGACATGAGACCGTCGGCATCAATAAAGCTCCTGATCCTAACATGTTCTCTTTCATCGAAAAGTGATACACCGGAAATCATTGCCCCCACCATTTCACGACTCTTTCAAAAACTATGACTACCTAAATGATGGAAGTATCAAACTCGCGATAATATTCAGTTCATAATTTTCTGTTGCTTAAAGATATCTCCATCACACAAGTCAGTCCGTGTCTATTATACATCAAAGAGTTATAAGTTCTAAGTCAATCTACTTGACGAAATATCAGAGACCCATCATAGACGAAGTGACAGAAATTATAGGTTAGGCGAAGTGGGTACTACATTATTTAAAGATCATACAATTCAGAAAAATATATGTGTAAATATAAAAACAGTTAAGTCATCATTTACAAAACCATCGCAGAACGCAATAGTGGTACTTACTCCTAACATCCTAATATTGCTAAAATATATAAATATTCCTCCCAAACTAGTGTGTCAGTGATGATACCGTCGCAGACCCGTTGGAGTTTGTTACCCATTGCACAGTCGGCAGTGGCCTTCACGACGATGCAACATCGCGCCGTACACGCAACGCCAGAGATTACCAAGTTATTTCGAATTATGAGTGCATTATACAAAGGACTTTTATCATTAAATTTTTCTCCCTATAGCCTCCCAACTCCCAAGTTTCAACCCCTATAAAAAAATTCCGAAAATGATCAGGAGCCTCAGAAACGTCAAAAACCAAAGTTTAATCGTTTTTTATTCCATTCGTGTTTTTGCCCCTAGCTCCGCCACTACTAGACCGATTTCCAAAAAATTCAAAGGTTTCTCATGCCAGGCATATAGTAACCGTCTCAAGTTATAGGCGGTTATAAAATTAGCGAGCAGAATTTTTCTCCACCAGTTTTGGCAAAGGCAAAGGATCGAAGCCATATAGTATCGTCAGTGTCAAAGCAAATAGAACTCCCAGTCGTCTGGACTGTAAGAGTTGGAAGTGGACGAGGTAAAGTTGTCGTTTCGCCCACTATGTGTGATATGGTAAGAAGGAGAGTGGCCTCTTTGCCTGATCCTTTACAAGATATAAGCTTTTCGAAACCAAGTACAGCAAGCTTGGGATCTCTTACCTCAGAAAAATATCAGCTCTTCAGAAGCATGCCCCGACGAGCTGAAGCATCAGGTTGTCACAACATATTATTAGCGAAATTTAGCGATACCACAAAAAATTTTCACTTAAAAATAGAATCACAAACTAATCTTGTGTATGTCTAACTGTATATAAGATTTCATTCAAATAAAATCATTTCACGGGATGTTCTACTTTCTTTGTCTTTGGGTCAGTGATGGGAGCATCGTACACATCATGTAAAATATGTCATTGTACGAGCCCCTTCCCACTTCAGTTGGCCCAACTATTGAAATCTTAGTTTTTTCTTATCAAACACAAATAATAAAAATGTAGCAGGGTATTATAGGTTTAAAATATTAACAATGAATATTTTGATAATATATAGTAGAAAGCACCAACTTTATGACTCCCTAATCAAATTTGCAGCATAAAAATAACACATGTTGCAATTACAGCATATCAACCTATTTTCATTTCAATGCAAAATAAGTCTATAACGCATAGGTGGCTGTGAAAAATAAAAGCTATGACAATTGTTTTTATGAATCACAGCTGTCAGAATACGTTTAAAATAGTTTTGGATAGTTAAGGTTTTCAAAATGGGTAGAGGAAAGGTTATTAGTGAGAAAATTCGGTTACTGATAATCATTTTTTATTAATTCTGGGAAATCAAACTCAGAAATTGCAACTTTGTTAGACTTATCGCGGTACAGTGTGAGAAATATTGTTAGAACATATAACGTAGCTGGTTCAGTTAATATTAAGCCACGGTATGTGAAAAAAGTAATATCACAAATGCCGACCGAAGAGCATTAAGAAGAATAACCGTGAAAAACAGGCGTGCCAATTATTTACAATTAAGTGCTCTGTGGAGTGACGCTGTTGGAAGGAGAATTTCGAGGTCCAAAACTCTTAGAGAGGCCCACAAACTGGGATTTAGCACTTGCAAGGTAAGTTTTCTTATAAAAAAAGTGAAGTAGAAATCCTAAAGTTGCACAACTTGTTTATAGGCCAAATAAAAGCCACTATTAACTCCACTGCAAAAGAAAAATCGGCTTAGATGGGCTAAAGAACATAGACAATGGACACCTCAACAATGGTGTCCAATAGAATGGAGTGATGAGGCCCGATTCGAAGTTTGTGTTGGTGACAGTCGCAGTAGAGTTATTCGCAAAAAAAATGAAGCATTCCATGTTAACTGTCTGAAGAGAAAAGTGAAATTTCCAGCATCCATTATGGTCTGGGGCAGTATGTCATCAAAAGGAGTAGGAAAACTTCATTTTATTGATCGAAATGTGGATACACACAATTATTTGGCAATTCTAGAAGAATTGCTTTTACCAGTGATGGAAGAATGTTTGACATCGGGCCAAGATTTTGTGTTTGCAGCGTGCCATACCTCAAAAAAGGCTATAAAATTGATAGAAGAAAATAATGTACCACTTTTGAAATGGGTTTCTAGCACTCCAGATCTGTCACCTATTGAAACCTTGTGGCACGAGATGAAAAAGGTTCTACGACAACATCTTGCTCGTACAATCACCGAACTGAGACAAAAGCTTCAAGAAATATGGGATTGCTTTACACCAAATTTTTGCCAAAACTTGGTTAACACTATGCCCCAAAGAATTTCAGCCGTAATAAAAAATAAAGGTGATGTCACCAATGGTAATCTTTCAATTGTTGCTTTGTTAACTTCGCGCATTTATTCGCAGATTGTTTATTTGTTCAGATGTTCTATTAGTTGTAGGACTAAGTGATTTCAAATATGTATTTTTTACGACTAGAGTGTATCTAAAATGTTTTTGAGAAAATAAATTGTTTTAGAAGTAAATAGTTTCGTCATGTTTAGTTTATAAAGGCATATTTTGGTACAAATCTTAAAGTGGGCCAACTGAAGTGGGAAGAGGCTCGTATATAATAGCAAATAATAGTTCAGTTAGGTCGCTTGCATATACCGTGCGAATCATTTTTGGCTGAGGTCGGGCGAGTTTCAATGTGCATGAGAGAAAAGCGAGAGAAGCGTACAACACGTATGTTAAAGTTAGAAAGAGCGCTCCGTCACCATCCTCGCTGTCGTTGGAAAGCAACGTGGTGTGATTACTTGTGGGCGCACTCTTTCCAACATATGTACGTGTTGCACGTTTCTCTCTAGTACACGTTTAATAAACCCGCAGGGGTATTACGTAACTTGAAAACTGGCATAATATCGGTTTTTTGATATTATGTCGGTTTTTTGACATTATGTAGGTTTTTCAACAATGCGTCAACTTGGAACTAGCTGTCGTTCACTTCATGCTCACTTGTAGCAAGTGCGGAATCACGTATTTACACACAAGCCTACTTAGTCAACAAGTTGACATTTTATATGCCTTTTTGACATTATATAGGTTTTTTACGTAATAGCCCTGCGGGCCGGCTAATTTCGTTAATGATTCGCACGGTATGCAACGCCTGAAGAAGTGATTTCTTAATAATTAGTAAAGTTATAGTTTTAAGTTAAGTAGGAACATTCCTAAAATAAAATAAATCCTGAAAACAAAATCCACATATTTGACTGGTTTTATTCAGCGTCGTCAGCATCGAAAAGTCAATATTTAGATTGCCAAAGCCGACATCTTTTCACTTTACCACCAGCTTCAATTTTTAGTTGCATTACGTACAAAGTCGAAATTGATAAAGTAGCCTTTCGATAGCCTCATGTTAGCATACGAGAAAAGTTAACTTACCTGTGCGACTTCAAGTAACAGGCGGCTTTTTTCTCAGATACGGCACTCGACAGGGTATTTTTGCACAAAATAAGCCCTACCCGCATAACCACATTACTTTTATAATTATTGTCAGTATACTGATGCTTTGACGCTTGCAAATAAACCGAACCTCACTTATTGCATTGACTTCATCAATACACAGGGTGTTCGAAAAATAGGCGGAGATATTTTAGAGAGTGATTGTTAAAAAGTATAAAAAAATGTTTCTGTAAACATAAGTCCGGAACTGTAGAGTTTTCAGGATGTGATTAATTTAAAAAAATTTTCTATTAATATCTTAAAAATTATTTGCTCGATTCTGTTGAAATTTAGCAATATTATTTGTTGCATTAAGAGGCTAATTTGGCCCTAAATAGATTAAAATTATTAGGTCCAGTACCATCCGGGGGGCCACCTTAGCCACTATTATTGTGAAACAAATATACGCTACTGCCATTTTTGTAACTTTATTATTTGTTGTTTGATTAAGCATCTAAAAATACAACTTCTTTACCTCTTGTATTTTTTCGTATCTCAGCTCGTTTTCGAGAAAAAAATAAAAGCCGTTTTATTGCCTGTCACTGGACAAAATTGGTTTATTAATTTTTGCTAAAAGAATCGCAAGTGCATTGGAAAACAAAAAATCGAAAAAAAATCTAGGAAACAGTGTTATTGCAACTTTGACCATAAAGTACACTAGAACAAATGTTGGAAATGACTACCATCCATTTCCGTGTACCGACGAATCATTCAAGGACGAACTCGAGCTAAAATTCTAGGTCTATTTCTTATTTCTTCGCAAGCACTTACAATTTTATTCCTTAATTCTTCCAATGTTTCTATGGGAGTAGCGTAAACCATCTTTTCAAGGTGTCCCCGTAAATAAAAGTCTATTGGATTTAAGTTAGGAGAGCGAGCTGGCCAGTGAATTGGTCCACCTCTTCCAACCCAATTTTCGGCAAAGGTGTTATTCAGATGAGTTCTGACAGGTATACTAAAATGAGGAGGAACTCCATCATACATAAAAGTTATTTAGTTACGTACTTTTAGAGGAACTTCTTCTAGCTGTACAGGCAATCCTTGTTGGAGAAACTCTAAGTAAGATTCGCCATTTAGTCTTAAGGATAAAAATAAAGGACCAATTAAATTGTCACCAACAATACCCATCCACACATTTGAAGAAAATTGTTCCTGGTAGCGACATTGTACCTAAGCATGAGGATTTTCATCACTTCATGCATGAGTGTTATGGTAATTAACAATACCATCCCACGGAAATCCTGCTTCGTCCGTAAAAAGTATGGTTTTATTAAAATTACTATTATTATTAACCTTATGGTAAAACCATGGGCAAAACTGTAAACGAGGTAGAAAATCTCTAGGTAATAATGCTTTCACACGTTGGACATGATAGGGATAGAAAAGTTGCTCGGAGAGAGCCTGCCACACAGTGCTGTTGGAATGATTACCCCCTAGTCTAGTTCCTATAGTCCTGGTACTGATACCAGGATTTTGTTCCACGATACGTAAAACTGCCTCGTCAAACTTACGAGTTCTTACGACCGGCATCTACTATTGGTGGGAATGGCAAGACATCCTAAATAACGTGATTGTCAAAAACATCACGAAAAAAGAAATAAGAAATTTTTCCTCTTTCCGTAATCTAAGGTCTACGCTTTCAAATGTTTTACTGTCTGTAAAATGCCGATGGAGAAACGTTTCTGCATACAGGCGCCTCGCTGCATAACAGTTACTATAAGCACGTGCATACATTACATGCACGTCTTCCATTTCCTCAAAAGTGTAATTTTCCATCACAAAAACAGAGACAAAAACTTTTTAGAGAAATTTCGCAGAGAAAATTACGTGAATAATTCTTTTCTAGAAGAACTAGCACGCAAATATCAAACCTCCATCCAAACATGATGTTTTGTTTTCCAAGGCACTTGACCTAATAATTTTTATCTATTTAGAGCTAAATTAGCCTATTGATACAACAAATAATATTGGCAAATTTCTTCAGAATCCAGTAGATATTTTTTAGGATATTCTTTTTTCAATTTATCACCCTGTATCTTGAAAACTCTGCATTTCCGGATCCATGTTTTTAAAAACGTTTTCCATATTTTTTAACAAGGAATCACCCTCTAAAATACCTCCGTCTATTTTTATAACACCCTGTATACATTGCATACGTAGTGTTCACATTGTATAGGCATCGTATACGCATTGTCTACATCGAAACGTAAACAATCAATGCATACGCGTAAACGCCCATTACAGCTTTGAGTATTGTGTTGCCTATACATTCTTCACCCTACAAAGGGCGTGCTTATAACCTGTGGATGGGCCTCCAAATGTCCCAAAATCGGAAAATCTCGCACTTCGGGCAGCAAAGGCTGATTGAATTGTCAAGGTTTCTCACCTGAAAGCGGCTATAAAAGCTGTTTCTTTTCTAAAAATGCTCTATGAAGCCTCCTTATGTGAGGAGGATGCTTTCTTCGCCCTGTCACGTGAAAGTAACTACGAAGTTCGAATGTCGAGGGACGACTATGCAAGTTAATAAGATCTCAGTACAAAAGGCCTTCTTCCTCATCTTCAAAGCTTTCTTATTTTACTGCTTTAGTCTTTTGAAGAATATACGAAAATATGTGTTATTATTTGACGTTTGACATAAAATGTGGCTTCTGTAGAACAACAAAAATGAGTAGGTCCGTGTGTTTCAGCATTCTTCTGTTACATCCAAATGACACGGCAAAGAAGGCATCCGTCAAGGATGCCGCAAGTGAAGGAACGACTATGCGTTCGATTTTGCAAAAATATTATCCATTAGACTGATGTGAAAATTTAATAAACGTCTTCAAATAAAAGCACGATCTACGAGTAGTATTTAAATCTGCAATGGAAATAGGCACTGTAGGTACTTGCAACTTACTAACTTTTACTTTAAAAAAATACTGAAGGAAAATGGGTTAACAGGAGACAGCCGTATGACTACGCAACACTACCAACTGAGGCCCGACATATTCTTGACTTCATTTTCTGAGGAGCCAGAACTCATGTGTGCATAGCGTCACCTGTATAGTGTAAGACAGGGAAGTGTAACAATAGGAAGCCTCTAAATAGCGACAGACACACAGGCAGCTTAGTTTTCCGCACCAGCAATAAACATGAACCAAATCAGCTGCTGGGGAGAAGTTTGATTATTTATTTAGGGCTAGCCACATAGGTGGCAGTGATAGCTCTTTGCGAACTTGATACTGAGTTTCTTAGGAGACCCATGTCCGCTGGTTTGCTTCCCGCTACCCGTCTCCAATGACTAGACATATACCACATTGATGATTGCTAAAAAGCATGAAACAAAGGTAGGATACACCTACCTATGGGTAGTACCGCGTTTGCCGAACTACTCATAGGTGGCAGTGCCTCCTCTTTTTTCCTCCTTTAGTGCTACATTATCAATAATGTGGAACCATCAGCTAGAAGGGAAATTATCTAACTCAGGCAGTGCAAATATTGGCTCTACTATAATATGAAAGAACACGAAAAACAAAACAGAAATCTCCTGCCTTTTTCCCCGTCTGACAACAGAGGGTGAGTGAATGTAGCTCGAAGGAGATCTCTGCTACAATGCCGGCAATGAGCGTCTCGTCCTGACAAAGCGACGATCGAAGATCCAAATGACATCATAAATATTGTAATTTCCCCGAAGGGGGGTGCGCGACTACCGACTGGAAAATTGTCACTGCTCCTCTCCCTGTTCAGCTTTTCCAGCCTGGATCGGGCTGATGTAATCACCGTAATTCGGCAGTCGGAGATATGCTGACATGGAGATTGCAGGTAGAAGGTAGCAGGTGTCTGGTTTTTGTTTCTAGCTTTTTGATCAATTTTCGATTCCTCTGAGGAAACACTAGCAGTAATATTTACTTATCTATTTACCATTTTCATGACAAACTAACTTTATTCGTAATAACAAATTTTATTTACATTATTTTATCAGAAATATAATCTATGATTTACATACCTTCTTAACAATTGATAAGGGCATGACTTTGAAGTACATTTCTAAGTCAAAGTAATATTGTATATATTTTGGCGAAAAGACTCGAGCTTAAAAATATTCTTTATGGTCATGTCCTCTTTTTGGTCCAGAAAACATTCAAAGCTCTCTTCCCATTCTTCATTTTGTTGTACTGAAGACATGTGATTTTTTTAGCACGTGGTGCCTGACTATAAGAATTCAAACTCACCACCAGTTTTCGTTTGTACTTAACTACTAGCTATGAATGTATTACTTCAAGTTGAAACCTGCTAGACTTTTTGACCTCGCACTAGTGTTTTCCATCGGAAGGTCGGAAGCTACCATTACAGCTGATTCAGCTATAAGAAAAACAACAAACGAACGTGATATTCTCATCGGCTATCGGTCTGTTTTTGTCACTTTGTAATCTGAGATTTGTTATACAAATATGCTAACTGGCAAAGTAGAAACTGCTGCTTTGTTCTTTTAAGTATTGCAGTGATCTTAATAGTACAAACACATACAAAATACAATTTTATAAAAAATTGATATTCCCTAAAATCACCAAAGAAACATAACGGAGCTTAATGTTTTACGAATTGTTATCTTTAGAACTGCATCAAATCAGAATTAATAAGGATATTGCTTAAAAATGGTGTCGAGTGGATTGTCTCTGCCCTTCACACGCAACGCATTTATCAGTACATAAAGGAATATGTTCAGAACAAACTAGATCCTCTAAGAAAAAGGTAAGTCAGACAGGTCCATACAATTAGTCCATATACATTCTTTCCCTTTCCTTTCGATAGTGTATCTTTTAAACCTAACTCGTGCTCCCCAGAATATTTTTCAGGGCTAATGTAAAGAGAAATTTATGATGTGTGAAATATATCTAATAGGTGCGTATAATTACTAATGCTGGGAGCGTATTAATGTACTAGTATCAAAAGTTGAGATAAACCCTCCCCACTACCAAGTTTTTTACCGCTACAAACGAAGTTTGAGTAATTTTTATTTTTTTCAGTTTATGCTTTTTTTCTGCCGCCACTGGACCGATTTTCAAAAACTACAAAGTCCTTGGCATAGTAGTAATATTGTGTAAGAATTTCATCGAAACACGAGCGGCGCTTTTCAAGTTATAGGAGGTTATATAAGATCAGACCGACAGACAGACAGATAAACTACCGATGGAAGTGAGTCACAGCAAAACGCCAGTAGGCGTGAGAAGTGAAATGAAATATGCTGAAATATCCGCTAACTTTAACAACGTGGAATTATAATGAGCTTTGGTGAAGTATATCTTTTTATATTATTATTATTATTATTATAATTATTATATTTAATAACTTTACCGCATTTGTTTGTGCATGTGAACTAAAAAATAAAAAATCTGACTACTTCGGATGTGTTTTCCATTAATCCGCCATTGATTCTTGTTGCTTAATGCATATATTTATAAAGACAGATTGAACACACCGAGATGAAAATTTCACAAGCTATACTGAAATCAACAAAAAGAATTAAATAACATAGTTCTGATTTGAATAATACACATTCGGTAAATTACCCTCTATAACTCTGCAGTAACAACCTACGAAGTGTGGACGAGAAAATCTCTTCTCCGGAAAAATGCTTTGTTGGAGATAACTGTTCATTTACATAATAAAATGCTTTCTAAACCTAATATATAATTTCAGAACAGAATGCTGTTAACATTTTACAACTATCGTACGCACCAGTAAACATATAATTAGCATGTAAATAGGACCAACAACAGCTACAAATCTTTACAAACGACATAATGTCAGATAACATCAGCGTCTAACGTTTTCGTTTTTAAAGGAAAACGCGCTTTTTCTCACCTGCTTGGAAACCGAAAGCCTATATATAATACAGTCATATTGGAAACTCATATGAAAACTGTAAACGTCTAAACTGAATGACTGGTTATTTTATTGAGACCTGGTAGCACTTATACCAAAAAGAAGAGAAAATTGTAGGTATTGGGTTGGTGGACCATGTATAAATACTTCTACTCAGACCCATCGAACTCAGGAACACAGTCGCGACGGAAGGTTTCGTCATCGCATGGCATCGTGGCAATATCTAAGACTTTTTGATAAATAACTTTCCATTGTCCAGCCACCTTAGATATTATTAGAACATTCTCAGTGTTCTAATGTACTTACATCTTTTTTTCTTCAGATTGCCGTTATCTTTTATATAAACTTTTGCAGCCTATATTAGTGTTTGATACACAAACGTGTTTACACTAGACTTCAGTGGTTATGGTTTAATTTTTATAAGAAATGGAGAAGTTTCGTCCTGTTCAGAATCGCATAAGTAATGACATACCAACAAAGAGATGCAATATAATGATCAGTCTGTGCGTTTAGTTATTAGTCTATAGACACTCATAAGACGCTGTGCGCTCGGCCACGTGGTTTAAGTTGATAACTATTGACATGTATGCAGTGATGGTATTTAGTTCTTTAAATCCATCATATATGGTACAAGCGCCGAATTAAAAGGTGTAAAACTTTGGAAGTAAGTTTTATGCCTACTGCTACTCTATCACAACTAGCTGTGATGTCTTAAAGAAATTAGTGTTGATGTCTAATGTGATTATAGATTTTCAAATATTACACGATATTTTTCAGGTCCGGTAGAGATTCGTATAGTGAAGATGCTATTGGTTATATTCAGTTGACACGTGAAGGTACCAAATGCATTGTAAATGCATGTTACATCTGAACATAAAGTGAAAACTACGCCTTACCACTGTACATTGGTCTGTGACGAAAGTGAGGGAAAAATTAAAACTGTTGGGTGCCATAATTGTGCTGCTTAGCTTGGTGGATGTAAACACACAATAACGTTTTTGATCTGGCTTTTGAATCGAAGCGAGAAGCCTGCAAGTACTTCAGTAGAATGTTACTGGATGTAACCGGCGCTATCTAAAGTTAAAAGTGGTATTAAGTTTATTAAAGCGATGAAAGTAGTTGTACTTTTTGGTCCAATCAAATCACGCTTCATAAGTTTGTACCATTTCTTCCTGATATTTTCAAGTGAGGGTACGTAGAAAAAATGTTTATTAGGGGTTGTAATTGTTCTGCTCGTACATTTTGTAACGATACAGTATTTATACCAACGTTTTTTAAGGTTGCTTCGCTCATAACCGATCGTATATGCAGTCAACTAATTAAACAAATTGGCGCGTGTTCCCATTGTATGTGTGTTTAGGACATTGAGTTGGCCCGGTCCCAGGAGTAGGCCGCGGCCATCGCAACTCGATAGTGAAGTGCGTCGCGTTCAGACAAAATAAAAATATTCTCGCGGGGGCAACTTCATTTTTTTTAAATTTCATTTGAGCTAATAGCAAAAAATGGTAAACTTGTCCATTATTACGGATCTGCTATTTTCTGGGATAGAAGGACATCATTTAACTGCATTTACAAACAGCATGATTAAAATACAATGACACTATTTTCATAAGAGGAGAGGCATACAAAAATAAGATATAGGCTGTTCAAGATGCTTACGCCGTGATGAGACTCATGTTTATTCTTCAAATAACATTGTGGTTAGACGAGATTACTTCCTTATACTTATACTAAATATAATTTTGAATGTCAAATTTCACTAATTTCGGTATTTTGTTTCAAATTAGAACAGATTTAAGTTTTTTATGATACGGATTACGTATTAAAAATTCAAACCAATTCTTGGAATACTCTGACAAAAAAATCCTATGAGTGACAACTTATGTAAAATCAAGTATACGTGTGGCAGTGACGTATAAAGTACTTTTATCTTCTCCTCTGTAAGGATGGAGTTAGTACAGCAACAGAGTTTGTAATGATTTTGATAGATTTTTTGTGAATTTCATATTATGTCTTCAGATTCAGGCAGTAGATATGAAATTTTTAAGAAAAGTCAACGGAATAACTCGACGAGACAAAATCAGAAATGATATAGTAAGGGCGGAACTGGGAGTAGAACCAATCTTGCATAGAGTTGAAGTACAACAATTAAGATGGTTTCGAAACCTGAACCTCATGAAGGAAAGTATACCAGCTAAACGAGTGTGGGAAGCAAGAATCCAAAGAAAAGGAATACGAGGACGTCCAAGGACGAAATGGAACGATAAGGTGGTAGTGGCACACAAATGTGGTTGTGGTTAGATGTCTCCTTGAAAATTCGAGGTCTTCTAGCCATTTTATACTACAATGTGTAGTTTGGCTCTTGTTGTGGACTTCGTGTGTTGGTTTTTTCCCTCTCCATCTTCATTTCCTCAGGTTACACCCGTATCCGGATGTGTGGGCATGTATATCTACTTTTGTAGTTCCATATGTGCATTCATTTCGGGCCTGATGAATCCAACCAGCAGAAATACGTATCGCGCGGGTTACCTATCCTATTTTCTGCGCGAATCCACTTTCCTCCTTCTTGTGGAGTTTGCCCATTATTTTTCTACCTTTTGTTACATACCTTTCTCCGCATGATCATTTTCTCTTTATATATGTATATATGTATATATAACTTGAGACGTGGTCATTGTCGTCTAGACCAGTTAGGTGAAAAATTAAAGCTTCCGCCTTTTGTTGGGTACTTCGACAAGATTTAAGCAAAGAGGACTCTTTATACTTTTTTTAATTCTCTCTAGCTTTCAATGGACTTTGCCATCATCATCAGGAGCTGCAATTACAATGATAACAGTAGCAACAAAGGTGTAAAATGAATTTAAATTGACTCAACTTACAGTAGTATGTGAGGATGTTGCTAATTGTTGTTTACGTATAGGATGAGGGAAACGTCCAGTAACATGGTGACAGCTGAATAGATTGCACAATAGTCAAAATTTATACAAAACATGACAAGAACAAGTTAAAAACAGATTAAAAATTATTTTAAAAATTAGAGCATTACATCGTGAAACCACCTGATGATTGCACAAATTAGTGGTCATGGAATGATGAATTGATGAGTGACATGAAACCCTTTGACAGAAGGCCGAAGGATGTCAATGTCAGTATTGAAAGATGGAACGAATTGTGGGCGTGTGCGTGTGTATATATATGTATATATGTATATATAATTAATTGTTAATTGGGAAATTGGCAAATTTTTAGACTTAAGTTGACTCTTTTGACGATAAAATCAAGCTTTCGGCATTCTCTATGGAGCCTTTATCAGGATTCTGAAAACACAATTGTGATGCTAGCAAAGAATACAGGACAGATTTAAATTGTCAAGCAACTTACTCGTCGTTGAGATTGCAGCCACAAGGTGTTTCAAAACGAACGTAGAGAAGATAGAACTTGTAATAAATATAAAAACAAAAGGACGGAGACATTGGGCTTGTTGATAACATGATGACATTTTAGGGAAACAATCGGAATGCAGTCTCTAACCTCCTACTTCCGCTACACGTGGAGAGGAGGACGGCACGGAGAGATAATGCGTCGACAGATGACAAGTGATTGACGCGACGGAACGTGGAACTGTAAACCTCATTGTCCAATTTGGGTATGAAGTATACGGGGGACGCTCGGTAAACCTCCACCCATATTACTAAAATGTTGAATTAATTTGTTTTGGAAAAATGTGTAGTTCATATGTGTGTACGAATTCATCAATTTCATCAATATCGCAGAGTACCTTTTCCAGAACAATTATTTTACTTTTAATAAGAAAGTGTTTTCACAAATACATGGTTACCCCATGGGCTCTGTGTTATCTCCAATTTTGGCAGAATATGTAATTGATGACCTGCTTGATGTTGTTATTCAAGTATTGCCATACAATCTAATTTTCATAAAAAAGTATTGGCAACACCCTGTATACAGAATTAATCAGAGATCTCAACTGATAACTTGAAAACTAGTAGTTTGAGCCAACAAAAATGTTATTTCAAGAGAAAGGTTATAAAAAGGGTAGTTCAAACATGTAAAAATGCAAAGTTGATTTTTTCAGTAAAATGATCTTAAACGAAAATCACATTTGTACTATATTGATTATTTTGACGAAAATTCACCCACTCTATCTACAAAAGTGGCTGGCGTACAGGCTGACAAAGCTTTTAGACAGAATTTCTCGTAGCTTCAGTTGTAGCTATTGAAACTCTATAATAATAATAATATAATAATAATTTATTTGCCAAATACAATTATACAAATATAAATTTCAAAGACTGTTGCCACCAAGGAGTATCAATGACAAATAAAAGGAATGCCACGAAAGAAAAATCTTGTGTGTGGCTATCCCATTCTTATCAATTGTATATCCGCAGTTATGTTTAAAGTATTTTAAGTATGTGCTACTAACGCACGCACTGACATAATTTGGTTACAGGATCACTGGTAGGAACGACAAAACTTAGAACCGACACTGTGGCATTTTAACTAAATTCAATAATAAATAACATAAATTAAGAAGCTAAACATTAAAAAAGAGTACATCTGTGGTAAAGGACAATAAAACTAAGATGACATCACAAAACTGGTAGTTGCATTTGTGTTGTGAACAATAAAATCAAGCATAGAATAGAATAAAATTAAACTAAAATTGCAGTGCATGAGATACGGTATAAATGTAACATATAATTGACTATAAAAAAATATAATAAAGTACTATAAAATAATAAAATGGAGCAATTATACTAAGAACGACTTTATTTGGGTTGAGAAAGTGACATATATATATATACATATATATATACACATACATGTATAGCGTTTTGCCTTCTATATATAATCATGTATAATGCTCCTGGATAAACGCTTTCACCCGTACTGAGATTTTTTCTTGAATAAACTAATAACATAAAAAATAACATAAATCAAAAGGCTAATCTAAAAAAGAGTACATCTAAGATAAAGGACAATAAAAACTAAAATGACATTACAAAACTGGTAGTTGCATTTGTGTTGTGAGCAATAAAGACAAGGATATATCAAGCATAGAATAGAATAAAATTAAATGCCCATCATACATGAGATACGGTATAAGCATATAAATGACTACAATAAAACATAATAAAATCTAATAAAATATAATAACGTACAATAAAATATGATAAAATAATAAATTAATAGAATGGAGCAATTATTCTAAAAACGGTGACTTCATTTGGGTTGTGAGAGTGACATATATAGTGTTTTGCCTTCTATATAATTATGTATTATGCTCCTGGATATACCTTTCACCCAGACTGAGATTTTTTTCTTGAATAAAGCAATGTTTCGTATTAACTTATAATCAGCAGGCATTTCGTTGTACAATTTGGGGCAGAGATAAATCCAGGAGCGTTGCAATAATGACTTTTCCGGCCTAGGTACCATTATGTGCCTAGCAACTTTCTGGCGAGTGTCATATTTGTGAGCGATTTCCTCATGAAATGATTTATTTTTAAAGTAGTATACCATGCAATTATAAATAAAGGTTTGCCTAATGTCCATAATTCCAGACTCATGGTATAGCTCATCAGATGGATGAGTTTTGCTCTTGCTATAAAGAATTTTTAATAAATATTTTTGGGCAATCTCCAAGTTCTTTATGTAAGTGAAGCCAGCTCCTCCCCAGCCAAGTATTCCATAGCAAAGATGTGACTGCACAAGTGCGAAGTATAAGATTCTCATGCAATCTGTATTAAGGATGTTTCTAAGACATTTGAATTTTGGAATGAGGCATCTTATTTTCTTTGTCACATATTCGATTTGAACATCCCATCTGAGATTTTGATCAATATATATTCCCAGATATTTAGTGCTGCTTTGACGTTTAATGGTTGTCGTATAGTTTCCTATTCTGACATTTATTTCGTTATATTGTGGCATATGGTTTCTATAGGATGCGAAAGGTACAAAACTTGTTTTCTCAGAGTTAACTGTGAGTAGCTTAGTGTTGAAATATGCTAGTACGTTGGTGAGCTTATTTTCGATTTTATTTTTAAGTGCGGGCCAACTTGAGTCTTCATAAATTATGACAGTATCGTCCGCGAATCCTAACACTGTACCTCCCGAATCCATTGAGAACAAATCATTAATATATATATTAAATAATATTGGCCCAAGAACAGTTCCTTGTGGGATCCCATAGCATACGTCTTTATAATGACTGGTCACGTTATCTATTTTGACACACTGCTTTCTGTTATTTAGGTAGCTCGACATTAAGTCTAAAGTAGTTCCCCTTATACCGCTAAGCTCGAGTATTTCCAACAGCTTGTCATGACTAATGGTGTCGAAAGCTTTGGTTAAGTCTATAAATATGCAAATGGCAGGGATCTTATCGTTAACTAGTCTGTACAGTTTTTTGGATAGTGTAGCTATTGCATCTTGCGTTGATATGCCTTCTTTAAATCCAAATTGATTTTTATGTAACACGTTATACCTATTGAAAAACTTTAGTAACCTTGACTTGATTATTTTTTCTACGACTTTGGCGATACTCGAAATCAGGGATATTGGTCTATAATTTTCTATATCAAGTTTGCTACCTTTTTTGTAGATAGGTGTTATTGTGGCTAACTTTAAAATATCGGGAAATACTCCTGTACGAAAACATTCATTTATTATATATTTTAAAGGCTTGCATATATAATATCGTATTTTTTTCAGAGTTTCAGCTTTTATGTTATCGCTTCCAGGAGCCTTGCCATTTTTCAAGCTTAATATAGTCTCCCTCACTTCGTTTTCATCCGTATCGTCTAAATAAATTGAGTTGATAAGCTTATTTACTTGTTTGATAGGAGCAGTGCGTGGTATCTTCTCTGTCAGTTTTTCACCAATGCTTGTGAAGTGTTCCAAAAACTTCTGAGCAATATCATTTTTATTGGATATTTCTTCCCCACTTTCGATTTTTATCTTATCTATTTCTGCCTTTTTATTCCTTTTACCGGAAATCTCATTTACACAATCCCATAACATCTTACTACTATTATTGGTTTTCTTGATTTTGCTGTCGTAGTATTCCTTTTTTCTTGTTTTTAATAGGTTATTTAATAAGTTTCTGTAATCCTTAAATCTTTTTATATTTATTTCCGTTGGGTTTTTTATCATTTCACGATATAGTTTGTTTTTCTTATTTACAGAGTTCACCAAAGCGCTAGTTATCCATGTTTTCCTAGCTTTTTGATTATTTTTGAGTTTTAATTTATACCTACATTTAGTGATATTTTCGTTCAATATTTGTATGAAATGTTCAGTAGCTTTGTGCGTGTTGATCGAATTATATATTGGTGTCCAAGTTTGATTATTCAGAAGTTCAAGTAATTTGGTTTCATTTGTTCTATATACACAATTTGTGTTTATATTTTTGCTAATGATTTTGGGGAAAATTATCTCTAGTATAGTTGTAAAGTGATCAGTTATATGGTTTTGAAGTATTACAGAATTTATGTGACCATTATCAGAAGGAGTGCTAGCGAATATGTGATCAATACAAGACTTTGCGTTACCATCCACTCTTGTGTAGTCATTTATTGCTGGACGAAGGTAATACGAGGCTAAGATATTCAAGTATTTTTCCGATAACTCAGACTTTTCCATTATATTTATGTTTATGTCACCCGCCAGTAGATGGATGCAACGACTTTTGTTACAAGATTCAAGGTATGACTCCAAGTCACTGAGAAATGATAAAGCATCTGTTGACGGTGGTCTATAAATAGCTGATACAAGTACTAGGTCTTTACATTTTTTCATAGAAAGCTGCAAGATCTTTATGTTTGTGTTAGAAAGTTGTATTATTGTATTCTCGGTCACCTCAACGTTTTTATTGATATAAGCTATAACCCCATCATTTTTGTTAATATCACCATTATTATAGTATATGTTATAATTTTCCAGTTGATATAGTGAAATATCTTCAAGTTTCCAGCATTCTGACAAAACTATACAGTCGAATGTTTTTTTGATTCCATGCAGTAGCACCCTGAATTCGTCGAAATTTCTATGTATACTCCTAATATTTAGGTGCAATAACGAAACATTTTCTCTGTTACATTCTGAATTCAAAGTGCTATTGCATTCATCTATAGACGTTACATTTTTAGTACTAATCTTTTCTATTCGAAAATCACGAATGTATGAGTCCATTATGGCCTAGAATTGCTTCTTAATTTAGGGCCTTGATGAATTACTAAGATTTTTTGCTTTCCTGAAGAAGCTTCTTCGGCAGATCTCTTTTCCCCTTTTTTGGTCTCGCTATTGTTGTTTGTGGATCTGTGGCCTGTTTCGAATTTCGATGTAGCTTCTACTGTAAATGTTTCTGGTAACTCGTCCTGTTGTAGTGTTTCATATGAATAGGCGTCACCATTCACACTATAGTATGATATACTTACTATCCTTACTAACATTTTTAGTACGTACTAAAAGATATGCAAGGTTCTATAATAAATATATAGGGTATCCCAGAAATAACAGGCCAGAGTGACACAGAAGGTAGATTGGCTCCATTTGAATCAGATAAAATCAACATGACCTTAAAGAAAGTTTTTTAGTTTGCGACATGTTGATACTTTGAGATTTTTCAAAAAAAATCCGACTTTTTGCCCTTTTTTTGCCTGTTATGCCTATAAAGAAATTCTAACTTATGATTTTTTTCCTGTGCTACCATTAATAGTTGGTTGAGACAACCGAGTATTCATTTTATTGAAAACTAGTACGGTATGCTAAAAAAAACTAAATTAATACATTTGGTTTCAATGCTAAAACCTTTACCAAAGTTTGAATAAATAATGTGAAAAAAATGTACCAGACTGAATCTGCCTGAAATAAATCATTTTTCATATGTCAACAGATTTTAAAAATGTCTGCTCCTATACACAAGCTGCATCTTCTTAAAAATTGTCCTTTTGAACGTGTCAAACTTAAATTAGATATTTCGCGTGCTGCTTCGCTGCTTGGCGGATTCAATGATGCAGTTCATCTGCAGATCGAACTGGTTCCATAGACCTATCTTTTAAACATCCCCAGTAAAGAAACAGAGGTCTGGGGTGCGTGGGGACCACGAAATTGGTCCTATCCGCCCAGTCCATCTTCTAGGGAATATTTCATCAAGATACCCCCTTACTGCACTAGCATAGTGCGCAGGGCAGCCATCATTCTGTAACCACATCCTTCTTCTTGTCTCAAGAGGCACAGAATGGGTAGATGATGTTGAAAAAAATCTAAATAAAGACAAAACTTGAAATTATTCAATGTAGAAAGACCCTACAAATGTTATATATTTTTAAAAGAGCATTAAATAGGCTAGTTTTAAAGATAATTTGCCGAATCAGTCTCTTACATTTTTGTCGCGGTAATCAGTCCAGCTTTCGTAAAGGTTTTCACATTAAAACAAAATGTAATATTTTTTAGCATTCCGTGCTAGTTTTCAATGAAATCAATATTCGGTTGCCTCAACCAATTATTAATGGTAGCCTAGGAGAAAAAATCATAAGTTAGAAGTTCTTTATGGCCATAACATGCAAAAAGGGAGCAAAAATTAGCGATTTTTTAAAAAAACTTAAAAGTGATATCTCGAAAACTAGAAAACTTATACAAAGGTCATCTTGATTTTATCTGACTGATTTGAACCCAATCTACCTCCCGTGGAACTCTGGCATGTTATTTCTGGGACCCTGTATTATAGTATATCGTCCGACTAAGAAGCGTAGGGCTACCTAGATTTTTTAAATATATTTTTCAATAATTGAGCTATCGAATAAAGTTGTATTTTTTAATATTGTCGGTGAAAATGATAGTCCATTTTTTTCTGACTTCACCATTGGGATCTCGGAAGCGGTATGAGACACGAACTCGGTTAATGGGGGCAAAGTTGTGTATTTAGGTAACTAACAAAATGCCAGTTAGAAAGTTGAAAATATTGAAGTACCTCCGGAGCGAGACGGAAAATAGGAGTTTTCCTAAAATTCAAAATAAATGTTTTTTTCCTCTACAAGATTGCATAATTAGAAGTTCAATATGAAGTTTTGACTCTTGTCGTCCAGCATCAACTTTATTTTTTATTTTAGGCGCCATATTGGATTTTTGCACAGTTGAATATTGTTTTTGATTATAATAGAACACGTCAAACATTGATATTGCCAAACCTTAGTGATTACAAGAAAAGCAGAATTTCCTAGATAGATCTTGAAATCATAAGATAGTAATTTCTGTAGAACAAGTGGCAATGTTAATATGCAATTTATTTTAAGATCCCATTACAAATAACGTCGGGAAATAATTAAAACGATTTTGTGAAGAAAGTTTTTTTCCGACTCTCTTTGGAAGTACTTTGAATTTCGAAACTTTCTAAGCGCCATTTTTTACTTACCTAAATACGCTACTTTGCCCCCTTCAAGCGACTTCGTGTCTCTTACACTTTCCAAAGACCTTATGGTGAGGGTTGAATATGAAACATACTGTATATGGGTTGTTAGACTTATTTTTATTAATTTACTCACAAACTTGTTTTTGTGTGTCATTTAATCATATTTATTCCGGCCCTATACCAGATTGCATAGGCTACTAGATACAAACTGGTTCGAACTCGAATACACAGTAAATAAAATGACATAACTAAAAAAGTTTTTGGCCAAACTAATAAAAATAAACATGATACATATTTTGAATCATAAAAGAAGGACTATAATGTTCCCTGAGACTATAGAGAATGTTCCATTTAAAAAATACAACTTTATTCGATAGCACATTACATTCATTACATGAAAAACTTCATATTAGACCCTATAACTTTTATATACAAATTTCTCTTCTGGAAGGCCATAGAAAAAAACGTTTGCCAACTCCGTAGTACCAACACTGTACTACTCCACAAGCTATCCATTAGTAACTGATTATCAAATAAACTAGCTCCAACGCAAAAACACCATAACATTCATGACACGGAATTAACCTTCGAGGCGGGGATTTGAACCTGCGAGCCCCGTGCTGCTAGCTCGATACGCTAACCACCGAACTACTGAGGCTCCCCAAAAAAAAACCCTGAATGTTTGAAGATTTGTGGAAGTAAACTTCTGATGTGTGTCTAAAATGCCCATAGCCCTTCCACATTTTGGCCTTATATTAACCAGCCTATAACATCTAATGGGAGACAGGGAAACATTTCAATGGTGATGGATCTTCTTTTAACACCGATGGTTAGGAAGATAGCATTCTATGCGTCAATTAAAATGTGCTCAATGCGACAATAGCTGTTCTAATCTTGCCACAAATCTCCACGGTGGTGTGGATGGTTTAATCCCGACGATACGCCCTGAGCATTCTGTTTCAACAATCGGAGATTTCAGACAATATATTATCAGGAAGAAGCCCGGTGTGGAAAAGTTTTACCATTTGTTTATTGTTGTATGTCAAGCGTGAGATATACTCACAATAAACAGATGTGCAATAATCAGTAGTCAAAGTAAAGGTATTAGTACCGGTATTGAAAAAACATCTAAGTAGTTGACTTTCAAGAAAGTTCTCACAAAAACTATTTATAGTATCATTAACATGTTGATTGTATACATTCACTTTCCTCTGCTAACATTAGTTACATTTCTCCCCCTAGCTAAATAACAATAATAACAGTGTCTAATGCAACAAACAGTTTTTATTACCACTAGAGTGAACCGTGGTGATTTGACAATACTGAAGTCAAGAAATGGATAGATTTAGAATCATAAAACCACAAAACAACAAGCGCTGACAAAACCGGCAGAACTAGAATTAATAGCTATCTTGCCACACTGCATTCAGAACAAAGATCAGAACAATTTAATTCATTCAAATTCCGTACCCTGCTTATTACTTGCTTTGATTTTTATCTGTGATATAAAATTAACCTTTTTATTATAGGTATATTCACAAAACTTTTCTCATAACTAGATATTATTTTGATAACCTTACAAAATAAGTTCTCTATTCTCGGCAACTATAAC